ATAAAACATATTAAAACCCGTAATAATTATTATAGCAACCAAGATGAATTACTAGTCTTGGCAATGATGTACAATAAGCATAATCATTAAGCAAATAGAAATATTATATAAAAATCTGACAAGTCGGTGCTAATATCGACGTGACACAAGATGGACGTGTACGTTGTGAATTATGGATGTGCTCGTAACTAAGGACTATTCTAATGCAAAATTTATGGATGTGCTCGTAACTAAGGACTATTCTAATGCAAAATTGAACGTTTCGAAAAAGAACTATGCAATGTTGTAATTAATAATAAGTGCACAAATACGGGGAAGATTATTCGAGAGGCTAACAAGTAAGTAAACCTTGTTAGTTTTATACAAAATATTAGTTGAAATGGTTTGTTTACACGAGGCCTTGATTTGGCATCTTACAAATCGACTGTCGGTAATCACGCTATATACCAGTACCGAAAACCTCGCCAAATACTAATAATTTAACAAACGATCTAAAACTTTGATAACAATATAACAATCAAAGAATGCAAAAATATATAATAATATGTACAGGACTGAATTCTATATATTACAATATATAAAACATAAATTTCGAGGACTGTCCATCTCTAAAGAAGTGTATATGATGCCCCTGTCCAACTATTTTGATTTGTGGCGAGGTAGAGTGGGGGTAGCAGGTGTGCGTGTGTGGAGAGGGGACGGGGTAAAATTGGCGGGAAATGAGTTCACATTGATTTAAATAATGATTTTCTTAGAGATTGATGAAACATCTCTAAATATGCGTATAAGATTCTCATTGTGTGGGAGTGGGCGCCGGGGTGGGTGCCCGTGGTGTGTGTGTGGGAGGTCGGAGGGGGGGGGGCGGGGCAACATGTATTTTTGTGGACAGAAATCATCCTTTATATCCTGTATATATCCTTTGGATGTGCTTCAGATACCCATTCACATTGTTCGATCATTGGTTTTGCATATTTTTGCATTTAATGTGCAGCAAAGGACTACTCAGGCAAGATGGTAATAAAGAAAGAAAGTTACTGAACGAAAAATCCAACGAGAAAACACTTTTCAGATCAATATTTTGAATGATGAAATTGGTACTGAATGAAAAAGCTAACGAGAAAACACTTTTCGGATCAATTTTGAACCAAGTGGTTTCTGTCCCCAAAAATACATTTTGCCCCCCCCCTCCACCATACAATGGTGATCTTATCTTAAACACATATTTAGAAATGTGCAGCGGAATTAAAAAGTAATGTTTTTACCAAGACCTATCATCATTTCCGCCAATTTACCTCACCCCTCTCCCCCTTCCACACACATATACCTGGAACCCAATCCGCCCTCACCACAAATCAAAACAGTTCTCCAGGAGGGGCATTATATACACGTCTTTGGAGTTGGACATTCCTAGAATTTAATGACATTTCCCCTATTGTAGACATTCGACCCCCTCCCCCCCATCTCCAAAACTCCCCCTCAAATGCCTCTTCACCGCCCAGATTCGGAATCTACGCGAAAAACTGGTCTAGAAAAACATGGTCTCATAAATTCACAGCTCGGGTGGCGATTCTCCCCCTTCAGCCACCGGACTATACCAACTGCACCCCTTTCATCAATAATGGTTGTCTTTTTGTTGCCAAGCTCTTCGTGGCAGAATGGACAAGTTTCTTGGCCAACGCTTGCACTCATTTTTAGTATGGTACTTAAAATCACCCCAAAAGTATTGGTAAACACAAGATGCAGTGAACCACTTTCTCATGTAAACTTCAAAGACTTATTACACACCATCATTGAAATGAAAAAGCCACACCGTTATTTCAAAATCGGGAGTAGCGTAAAGCAGTCTGATTTATTGAACTTTGGTATTATCTTGAGGTTCTACGAATGAATAACAAGAAAATGATGAAAACTGTAACGTTTCTATAGCCAAACAAAAGTTGCTTACCTTATGAAGAGTAACTCCGTGTGTTTTAGAAATCATAGATGATATGACTATGTGGAGCAGATTGGTAAATAATGTCTTGCATACCAAATATACCATAAATATATTCATAAATTTGGGTTCACGGTCACATCTTTTGTTGGTAGGGAGTTTTGGGGTAGGGAGTACCCCACAAAGGGTGTAAGGGGTCAGTTAACACCACAGAGCATATCTTCAAATGAAATATTGACCTAACACCATAGTTCATAGTATTATGAAGCAATGGAGAATTGTGCCTGTTTGTAAATTTGGGTCCTCGGTAACGGGTTGTGGGGTTAGGAGTACACTTGAAAAAATGGTATAAGGGACCAGTTAACTCCACTGGGTATATCTTCAAATTAAAGAATGACCCCCAAAACATTAATTTAGAGACCAGATTTGTTAATTTATGATAAAACAATGCAGAGTTATGCTCATTCATAAATTGGGGTTCTTTGACGCAGGTATTTGGGTAGGGTTACCGCTCCCCCCCCCCCCCCAAAAAAAAATGGTACAAAGGAGCATCGGAATCTATGAAAACCATTTCATATGAAAGATTGGCCAAGGCAATCTATGGAAAGGTGTCCATTTGTTTCTCTTAAAAATTGACGACTTCATGCGTGTTTGAAGTTTTACCTTTTAAAGGAAAATTACTTACAAAACTTGACAGTTATCTTAAAAATTTGGGACTTTCCGGTACTCCTATTTTGGTAAACTTTTAGGATGTCATTCAGAACATCCAACTCTACAAGAAACCATGATATAACTTTTTATTGCAATTTCTTGCAATAAACTGCATTTACAACCGCTATGAATATTTTATACAAATGTATTTTTTTTATAAATTTGCCTTAACATTTTGAAAAGAACGTTCCTTGTCCCCAGAAGAAAAATAAAAAGATTTATCAGAAACTCGCTGAATCATGAAGTATCTGCAAAATTGTCTCATCCCGACAATTTCTGATGTTAGGTGCCCTTTTTATCTAATCTCAAGTCCCCCCCCCCCCCGCACACCTTTACTTTCTGTTTTCCGCTATTTCACATAAAGAACCGGTACCCGTTTTCTCCCAATCTCTTCGCGCCTTTGTCTAAATTTAGAAAGATGATTTTTGGTTACAGTTTGAGTTTTTCATTTTTTTTTTTATAAAATGGATGCTTCGTTGCCAAAAGTATTAGGTGAGGGTTCAATCCTCATTAATCTATCAAGATGGCTGAACACGCTTTTCGGAAATTTGATATGGCAGAACCCGAACTTGATAGACTGATCCTCGGCACTTTTGGGGAATTTATTAATAGTGTCTAGTACAGGCCTATTTCTGATTTTAACCATGGTAGTTTCCTTAGTGCTCGAATCAGAAAAGGGGTACTTGTCAAATCCAATGCTAGATAGCAAATATCTGCGGACGCCATCTTTCTAGCTGTCTGAGATTTTCAAGAAGAACAAAACTAAGTCCGTCGTTCAACGCCTAAAGGGTGTGTGGCTCTATTTTTTGGAACCTTGAAATAGACAAAAATGGTTCTAAAAGCACATGTGTAATATAAATGTATGTCAATTTTAGAGAAAAAAAATTTGTTATTTCTAATCAATTATAGTGGATGACATACGCTCAAATTGAACGACAGTCGTTTAATGCAATCTCCGCGTTTTTTAAAATTATTATTTTGCCGTTTGTGAATCAGCTTTTACTAATTTCTTCCACATTATGTTGTAGGATATGCTTTTATTTGTTCATTACAAAATGGCACCCGAAACCATAGGGTACACGACTCGTGTACTGCTTATAAAATGTTAATTGTGACTTAAATATTGGATATGAGGGTAACGACATCAATATTGATTTGAATTGATCAATATTGAATTCTAATTCGTGTTTTTAATTTCGAATATTATGGAAAATATTGAGTTAGAGACATAGCTCCTTTAAGTCCCCCCCCCCTCGGATTTTTTAAAAAATTAAATAATCACAATTAAATAATTACAATTAAATAATTACAATTAAATAATTACAATTAAATAATTACAATTACACAATTAAATAATTACAATTAAATAATTACAATTAAATAATTACAATTAAATAATTACAATTAAATAATTACAATTAAATAACTAAATAATTACAATTAAATAACTAAATAATTACAATTAAATAACTAAATAATTACAATTAAATAATTAAATAATTACAATTAAATAATTACAATTAAATAATTACAATTAAATAATTACAATTAAATAATTACAATTAAATAATTACAATTAAATAATTAAATAATTACAATTAAATAATTACAATTAAATAATTAAATAATTACAATTAAATAATTAAATAATTACAATTAAATAATTAAATAATTACAATTAAATAATTAAATAATTTAAAATACTGTGAAAATGATTTACACGAATACAAAAAGAATACTTGTCTGGAAAATGAAAACTACGAATACAAAATTTGTTTCGGTTATTTTCCAGTCTTAAAATTTTACTGCGTATTTAGAGCTAGCAAAATCTGTCTCCTAAACTCGCGAGAGCGATAAGTAAAACGACAGGTTTTACGATTAAATAAAAGTAAATTTCACAGTCCTACAGCATCAGTCAGTTTAAAAAATAGCAAAAGGACGAAACTACTTGAGATGGCTCTGAACGGAGAATCGTTGATTTGATTTAAACAATATTTTATTCACAAACGAATCGTTATTATAAAATAAATGAAAAATAAAATCGCCGAGTTTTCTCAAATGTTTTAATCAAATTCGTAACAATGTATTTTTATAAGCCCAATGCGTAATAATTTAATCAATATTGTCACGTGAATGTGTGCGGGATTGACCTTTGCTCACTCGAGAAATTGTCAAGTGAGAGGCAACAAGGAGACAAGTAGGTGCAGTTTTTATTAACATAAATATTTGAGGCTGTGGACCACCCTATCAATAGGTTAAAGGTTTGGTTTTCGCAGTGATGCCATCCTATCAATTCAATTTTCTCTGTCAGCGTTTCATTTTCATTTCAAATATTTGTTTGTATGTATTCTTTCAGAATCGAAAGATAATGTAACACTATCAGATTGTACACTAGAGATTGGTAACTGTGCTGCTTATGATTTACAAGCTAAGTCTACTACCGACAATTCTAGACAAGCATGTAGGTATGAAAACACAAATATTTGTACCGTGTTAGACCTAGTCCAGAAACCTTATTGTGTATCTATATACAAGGCACAATTTTGGATAGATAAAATATAATTCCATCGATCCTAAATACAAATAAATGAGTGTATTGTTAGGAGACGAGCTGAACTCTCGAGTGTTTCGAAAAGCGTAAGTGAACTCTGCTTCGAACACGAATCCCGCTTTTAAGACAGAAATACTTGTAATTAGTATGTCTTGTGCTTCTGGTAGCTAATTTTCTATTTGGCGCACTGTTAAATTGTTAGCCGGTGGTAGGGGGTTAATACAAATCAGAATCATGAGTTATATAAATTCATTTTCTACAAAATGAGACTTTTTCATATTCAATCCTCGATATAACTTTATTTTAGTTATCATGAGATATATAAAACATGTATGGCTGAGAATACAACAACATGCAATGGTACTGATAGAGATGACATAAACGAAGCTCTTACTAATTCTACTACAATAATGACTGACTGTCCCTTTAACTGTTATGGTAAGACTACAAATTGTTTCTTTTTGGATGTGTCCCCAAAGTCACCACCTCCCTGGATCTGCCTTTGCTTGTACATAATTTCATACGATTTGAAATTAAATGACTGAAATCAGGGGTCTTATCCACAAACACTTTAACTAAAATATTTTAAGAATGCAACGCCCTCATTAGCCACGGATCACAAGTTGTACTAGGATTTTAACTCAATCAATGCAAAGGTTGCATCCTTAAAATAAATTAGTTTAAATTGTAAACAAGGCCACAGTGACATTAGTGACATCACTCAATAATACCACCCCCTGGGCTGATACTATGCAAGTAATATCACTCATCTTGCAAATTTGCTTATTCAACCACATTTCCCATTGTATTACTGTTGCATGATTTGAATACAGTGTTGAATATGGATATTATGTCGTTTTTGTATTATAGGTGAGAAGCAATGCGAATCGACGACTGGTAAGTTTGGCGAACTGTTTATCTTCTAATTTTTTCAGCTTAACCTCTGTGCTGGAGAGTTTGAATATACTTTTATAAGCCTTATTAAGTGTGGGATATTTGGGTTTGAATAAACCACTAGGAATTGGTTCTCCATATACTTTAGAAAACAGGGAAAGATACTACTCTCCTATCACCCAAGATAGGTCAGAGTTCACACACACACACACACACACAAAAACAAAAAACACCCCCCCCCACCCTCATAACAGAGAATATTGTAACTTTGTTAACAACCTTTAGTGCATCTTTTGAAAGGCTGATGGATTTTATAGATACGTATACGTATATTGTCGTCGCCCCTCTCCGTCTGGACGTCCACTCGTTCGTCCGTCTGTCCGTCCACAATTTGTTTGTGGACAGAATTGTTATTCGACGAAACTTGAAATATATTTCTATCTCCAAAAGATCTGGGTTACTTTCGAAATTGGCATGTATCGGACCATAACTTCATGGATTATGGCCCCTGATTGTACGAAAAATCATGTTTTTAGCTTGTGAACACTCTAGAGGTCACAGTTTTCATCCGATTCTGATGAAACTTGAAATGTATATTTGTAACCCAAAGATCGTGGCTCCGTTCGATATTCGCGCATATCGGATCGTAATTTCTTGGATTATGGCCCTTGATTGTATGAAAGATTGCGTTTTTAGCTTGTGGTCCCTCTAGAGATCACAAATTTTATCCGATTTAACAAAACCGCTCGAATATATATCACCGCTACACCATAATGTCGGTTGATATCTAATTTCATGAAAATCGGACCAAAACTGCCGGACAAAATGACCGCAAATAGTCACAGAACATCAACATCATTTATCTTAAGAGTCATTTTTAACTTCCAGTTCTATTAACAGTTGAAGATGACTCTTTAGATACTTGATGTTGATGTTCTGTGACATGACGTGACATCATGATGTGGCATAGCATGACGCATGACGCGGTGACGTATTTGGAGTTGACAATGACTCTTTAGATACTTGATATTACTGTACTCGATATTGCATTTTGTATCTTGATTGTTAATGTTCCTTAACATGCCGTGATATGGCGGAATATTACTTGATGACGTAACGCGGTGACGTAGTTTGATATATCAATAGGGGTCCAGTGTTACATGAGTATTGATATATCACAGTTCTATACTAGTAAGCAAAATACTAAATTTAATAAGCCTATTGATCAGTAATATTGAAAATGAATCAGTGCGATTATTTATTTATCAATCCCGTATCCCCAGTATTCATACCATATAATTTTCTCATACCGTTTTTTTTAGGACTTCGAATTTTGTCTAATGGTTTGGATTGTTCGTACTTGGTTTTATTTTATTTTATCCCTCACTCTCACTGTGATTATCGAAACTGTTATTTGCGAATGTAGCAGTTAATAGAACCCTTAGTTTCTTACGAGGTTACCTTAATATCCAATGTATGTAGACATAGCGCTTTCGCATCTCTACTCATTTGTAAATTGTGTATGCTTGATAAAGGCTTTTGAAATCGTAAAACGTTAAATGATGACGCGACGTGTCGCATTTAGCCGAACACGACAGTACCGCCTCGCGGTTTAGTTCTTCTCGGTCTCAAAATGTGAAGATCTAGGAGGTTTGGTATGCAAGGACATAAAAGAAGGGAATTACAATATCGAAAACAAAAGGTCGACCATTTACAAGACATAACAATATAAATTGCAAATCTAAATATTGTGTCTATTATTTTTATCTGTGTCGGCTATGCAAATGACTAAGATAATTAAAGGGCGTAAAGCTCTAACTCAATATTATTCAAAGTCTTCGTCATTAAAAACACGAATTATTGGTCCATTCCAATCAATAGTGATGTTGTTAGCTTACTGTGAAAATATGTGCTCCTGATATCTAATATTTAAGACACAGTAAACTATTTTAAAACCAGTGCACACCGGCGTGTACTCTATGCTAAAAAGCGTTATTTGAAATGAGCCGCCTTGATGAGCAAGGTTAAACGCCAGTGAAATGTCAAACCGTATTTGGATCGCTCACGTATTTCGCCGAACAAAACTGATTACAATAAAAGTTTTAAAGAATGGAGATTTGGCTCCTTTAAACTATATCGCTAGCAAATACATTATCCAGAAAACAGACAAATTCCTGTTAGTTAAAATTTTGAAAAATGCGCGAATTGACACACCAAAGTCATGCCACTATATAAATGAAATTTTAAAAAATAAAAAACTTTTTGAGGCCAAGGAAAATAGATTTTGTTTACGAAAATTATTATTTTCGCCAAAGTTAAATGCAAACACTTAAGTTTTTATTGGTTCGAACTTAGTCGTAACGTAACTTATGGCGACATGTATTGAAGACGTTGCTGTAATAACTCTGAAGATGCCGCAAGATTGAAAGCGCTAGACTTTCAATAAATGCCAATTTAACATCATCTGTACTGTGTTTTCCACCCAAAGAAAACTATTTCGTAAATATAAAACCGGGAACTAGAATGGCATTTAGTATATTATACTATATTTCAATTGATTTGTCAAAAATAATAAACCCAATTGTCAAAGTTTTAAATATGGAATATAAATTTTATTTTAAATAAGAGTTACTGGTCATCAAGCAGATAAGTTTACTAATACTTTAATCTCCATATCTTTATAGTTACCATACCAGATGATGATCTGACAGGTAACCCCAATGACACCCAGTTACCTCTTCTAGAAGGCTCCGTTACTCAGTGTAAGTGTTTTAAACTATTTGGTTAAAACCATATGAATTTGGTTTCGTGTAATTTAGTTTCAAATTCTACTTATTTTGTATGAATATATCTTATGGCGTGGCAAATTATAAAAACTAATGAAATAATGTGAAAATTAGGGGTTCAGGCGAAGCATTTCTTAAGAAAATTTGATACAACGTAGATACTAATTTCCCATTGGCAGGAAACCGAATAATTCCACTTGTGGGCATGGATTGAATGATATAGTTTATACAAATAACGATACTTGATCATTGTTGGAACCACGAACTCTTATCTGTGTATATATTGATATTTTTTATTTTATGCAGATTATAGTGATAATGATATTGAAGCTTCCATAACAATACCCGATGCAACTCAAAATGTTAACTGTAAGATATTCAAGTTATAAATAATCATATTTACTGTTAAAATTTATTATTACTTTACGATATTTCAGCTTTTATTCCCTGTGTCTCTAATTGTATCGTTGCTACTGCATCGTGTATCTTTGATTTGTTATCTGCTGTTTTGTATTCGTTCCTCTCTGTTCTTAATTCATGAAAAACCAAGTAATTGAATATTGTATTTCAGCAGTAGGACACTTTGCCACTGCCTATACATATCAATCTATGAGCTACGGTAAGTCCTTTTTGTGGGTGTGACGATTTACCCAATACCAACCAATACCACCCAAATACCACTACAATATAACCACATCCTACCCAATAATACAACAATGACGTAAAATGTGCATATCAATTGAATTTTTTCAAAAATAATTAGTTATACCGCGGGAATTGTACTTTAATTGCGATTACCGATGTCTATCTGTTCCATTTGCCTCCCTATATCAACCAAAGCAAGCAAAAACTGACCCAATACTACCAAATACTTATCACATACTACCACATACTACCCAATATTATTAATTAACAACCTAATATTGTCAAATAGCAGCACATTAGTATAACTAGAACTGCGATGCAGTAATGACGGGTTTCACCGGTGCCACGTTACCCTAAACATATGTCACTTCCGGTACCAATGAAACCATTAAACGGGTTTCCACATAAGCATTGCACACATCAAATAAGATGGACGCTGAATCAACCAAATCCAGCAATATCAATTCATTTTATACATTTGTTACATGTAAGCGTACAGTACTTCCGGTGATAATGAAAATTTTCAATTAGTTTTATGAAATCAGAAATGACATAAGGCATCACATGGTGAAAATTTTATGTAAATCGAATAATAATTGTCACTTTTATAGACCAAAAACCTTGAAAATAGACTTGTAGAAACCGTCTATTTCTCTGCAACCGTACAAGTTAGAAACAAGTTTCTGGTATCTGTATGATCGTATGGGTTCAATCTATTTGCTGATTGGGGAATTAAATATCATAATTTTAAAAACATTACAAATCAGACTCATTTCAATAAAATATCGGTTTTGAAGGCTAAAAATACAGTTTTTGCCAAAATGACGTTACTTCCGGTGATAATGAAAAACCTTAAATTAATTCTATGAAATCATAAATGGTATAAGGCATCACATGGTGATAATTTTATGAAAATCGAATAATAATTGCCACTTTTATGGACAAAGAACCTTGAAAAGTGACATGTTGAAAATTGCCTATTTCTCCGAAACTGAATAAGTTAGAAACCATTTTGGGATATCTATATGATCGTATGGGTTCATTCTTTTAGTTGATTAGAATCAAATATCAAAATCTTAACCAAACAACAAATACGACTCGTTTGAATAAATTATTTGTTTCGATGGCTATAAATACAGTTTTTGCCCAAATTTCGTCATTTCCAGTGACATTGAAAATGTTAAATTGAGTTGAACTAGTCGCAATTGACATTATGCATCAAATGGTTTCACTTTTATGAAAATCCAAGAATAATTGACTCTTTTACAGGCACAATAGCGTAAAGAGTGACTCATGCAAAATTGACGATTTCTCGGTAACTGCGCATATTACAAATTAATTTTCACATACATTCTCTCCGTATAGATTACTGCTACGAGTTTATGAAAGTTACGAACTAATATTTTAAAATATGAAAACGATGGATGGGTTGTAAATAGCTTAATTTTACACCTTTTTTCACCTTTTAATCGAAATAGCCCGAAAACGGAATCGAAATTAAAAAAAACTGGGCCCAACATTTTGTGCACCTTTAAAGGGCGCACCCTTTCAGTTATACCAGATTTGAAAAAAATAATATTTGCTTTCAAAAAATGGTACCTAACTGTCAAAATTGTAGTTTTTGGTAAAATTACGCCACTTCCGATGCCGACAAAAAAATGACAATTGAGACAACGGAGCATATGAACTTTGTTTTATACAAATCGAACAATAAATAATTAATCTAGGACTGAAAAACTGAATTAGCCAATGGTGGCCAAGGAAAATTACGGAGACAAAAAAATTTCACATTTTTGCTCAAGTCAGATGACTCTTTAATTCTGTGTAAAACACGACTAAAAAATATTCATAAATAAAAAAGTTTTTTGTACAAATTTAAATTTTCTAAAAGTGGTGTAGCTATGTGCCCTGTCTCCGGCGATGCCAAAATGTATCGAAAGTTAAAATCCAAAGATTATTATTAAAATTACTGCAATATTTTTAAAATCGATAGCTTCGGTGATTTCGGACATTTCGCATTGTCGCAGAACGTTCAAAATAGTTTTATCCTCTAAGTCACACCCACTCAGTTGCTGAGATCTAATCAAAATGGAATTTGAATAATAATAATAAGAATAACTAGACCTGCAAGCAGCACTGAACCGGCTTTCAGGAATCAGACAGGAAGTTTGTCATACAATAGCCCATTCATCGAGCTGCCAAACGATACTTTAGATGTTTTTATGTGGTCACACCCGACGGTGAAATCACGATTTTTGCAAGAGCACCGATTTTTACTGGGTTTTTTTTTTAAATATCGAATATTTTTTCGACTACTTCCGATTTACGGATCATTGTCGGGATACATTTAACACGTTGTATGGGAACTAAACTTCCTGTACCAGAAGTTTCAGAAAGATCCATTGGACAGTTTTTAAAAGAAAGGAAAACTAGACCTGAAAGCAGCACTGAACCGGCTTTCAGGAATCAGACAGGAAGTGTGTCATACAATAGCCCATTCAACTTGCTACCAAACGATACTTTAGTTGTTTTGATTCAGTGACACCCGGCTGAGAAATCGCGATTTTTTACTATATTTTCTCAACATATCGAATACTTTTTTTGACTACTTCCGGTTTACGGATCATTGTCGGAATAAATTTAACAAGTGGTATGGGAACTTAACTTCCTGTACCATAAGTTTCAGAAAGATCCGTTGGAAAATTAGAAGATATTTAACGATAATTAGCAAATAATTGGTAGTCTGATTTCATTGTGTTACCTCCCTTATACCATTAGACGTACATTAGATTTATACAAATATAACGATTTTTCGACTTTCTTCATAGATTTTGACCCTTTTTGGACCATTTATACTATATTGAGGCTTTTATATTTGGATTCACACCCTAGACCACCGTTAGGACTCTAAGTAACAGAAGTTTAAGAAAGGAAATAAGAATAGTTTTCGAGAAAAAAGCGTCTGTATAGGCTCCAAAAAGAAAAATACTAGATTTTCAGCATCTCATAATATATTGCCTAACCAGCGAATTTTTACAACTGAGATGTCATAATATCGTCCATTGTTCGGGCTATCCAATGACAATTTAGTTGTTTTGATTCGGTGAAATATGGCGTAGTAATCACTTTTTTCGCAAGATCACCATTTTTTACTTTTTAAGTTTTTTATTTCAAAATATCGGATATTTTTTTACTACTTCCGGTTTTTGCATAATTGTCGGGATAGTTTTAACAAGTTGTTTGGATAGTTAACTTTCTGTACCTAAAGTTTCAGAAACATCCATTGACCTGTTTTCAAAACAAAGAAAAATAGAAGAGCATTTTCAGTAATTTAAGGATTTTTCAACTTTTTTCCAAGATTGAGGCTCTTTTTCGACCATTTATAATATTTCAATGCTTTTATTTTTGGACTCACGCTATAGTCCACTGATAGGACTCTGAGTAAAAAAAAGTTTAAGAAAAATCGTAGTTTTCGTTTTCGAGAAAATGGCGTCTCAAAATGCTCCAAAACGGAAAATACTAGATTTTCGGCGTACCATAATTTATTTTCTAGCCATCTAAATCGTATCATTCAGATGTCATAAGATAGTCCATTAATGGGGCTATCCAGCGATACTTTAGTTCTTTTGATCTGCTAACATCTGATGGAGAATTCAAGTTTTTCGCAAGAGAGCTATTTTTTAAACCTTTTTTCTTCATTTTTTGAATACTTCCGGTATGGAGATTATTGTCGGGATAGTTTTAATAACCGGATTAGCTTATCAAATAGCCACAGGGCTATGTAATCAAATATTACATTGTCTGGTCAGATAAAATGCCCCTGGGAAATCCTATGTTCAAAAGTGTCAAAAATATCAAAATGTCAAAATATCGAAAATTAAATTTCAATAACTCAATACATATTATACATGGTTAGAATCGTAATTAGGACAGCTATCTGAATGTATAACTTCTTTTTGAAAATTTGTTAAAATAAAGAAATAATAGAGCATTTTCTAAAATTTGACGATTTTTCAACTTTTTTCGATTTTCAGTCCGTTATTTTACCTATTCCAGACACATCAAAGTCTTATTGGATGAAGTAGGACGTTAAACCCCATTTCATTTCATTTCTTATTGGATGGATTCATGCACACGACTACCGGGGGACTCTCGATAGGGAAAGTTTAAGAAAAATCCTTGGAGTAGTTTTCGAGATATAGGCGTCCCAAAACGCTCCAAATCAGAAAATACTTGATTTTCAGCATGTCATATTTTGCTGCCCTCTCATAGGATTCGTGTGAAATTTGCGTTTTCTTCAATATATCGGACAATTTTTCGACCACTTCCGGTTTAAGGATCCTTGTCGAAATAGCTTTATCAGTTGGATTTGGACAATAACTTCATATTCAAGAAGTTTCAGAAACGTCGATTAGGCCGTAAAACGAAACTCGGGCTCACAAAATGGGCAGAAAATTCGAAAAAAATCGAGAAATAAAGGGTGATAACTCTGAATGAAAGTTATATTAATGGAACCGGATTGCCTTCAAGTACCCAAAAATGTAGGTCAAATTTGAAAATTTTGAAAAATAACAAAAATTGTCTCTTAAAAAGCATTTTTCATTTTTCGAACGCTAGAAGTCAGCGTTTCTGAAAATGTCATTTGTATGAAAATAGGTACCGAATTGACGAAGCTACGGCCGTTTTTTAATTATTATGCACCGCACGAAATTCGGCCACTCCCCGTCTGCGCAGAAGTTTCAAAATTACTTTATCAAGTAGCCACCACATGGTTTCCCGATAGAAAATTGAACCCCAGATCGATATCTGTTTCCGATCGTGGAGAAATAGGCTCCCGCGGTAAATAATAATAATAATAATAATTTTAGTAATCGCAATAGGCTTTCAGACGAAAGTCTGAAAGCCTAATTAGAAGATATTTAACAACATTTAGCAAATAATTGGTAGTCTGATACTAATGTCTTATCTCCCTTA